AAAACTGTATCTCACGTCTCTGAACAGACAACTCCCAGGAATGTGTTAAGCAGACAAGAGCAGGAGGGGTTTTTTTTTGTCACAGAAAGCATGAATGTGTTAGACCCTTACAGCCTCTGACAGAAAATTTCAGTGACGGTAAAAGAAGATTTATTTTTTTCTTCCTGCTTTGATTGACTGGGGAAAAGGGTTTGCCAAGTCATGTGTTAATGTCATAACACTGTAAAATGAATCAGGGATAATTAAAAGATGTAGTAAGCAGTTATTATTCCTTTTCCTTGTTCTCTCTTTTAAAGTGTACTACAAATCCTGCAAAGCCCCTTTGGGGATTTTGGGGACAGTGGTCAGCACATCGCCTGTTGAGGTATCTCACTGTATCTGGTCCTTGCCACAGCTGCTCCTTTAGTCCCCTCATAGCTTGTCAGGCATCCATTTGCATGAATTTACTCTCAGAGGAGGTGACTTCAGGCAATTTTTTTCCCCTGTGTAGGTTTTGGCATCTCAAGTGTTTTCTCAAGGGTTTTCCAAGGCTCCCACCACTATGAAACCGGTGTTAGTGGCACTGAGCACTGTACAGAAAATGCCATCTTCTTTTCCTTTGGAATATCACACTGGTTTTGTTTCAACACAAGGTGGGTGTTACTAAGCTGAAGAAGGCTTCTGTTTTGGCACCCACGAATGACCTCTGCAGAACACCTGATAGAACTGAGAGTAGTCAGACAAGAGAACAAATGTTGGGAATGCATGAAAAGGGTTTTTTTTTCTGAAGACTGGAATCCCGGGTATTTGTGAATGATTGCGTCAATGGGCTTTCCTGGTTTTACAGACATACAACTGAGGAGAAGAATATTCTGAATAATACATGTCACAACAGAATTGGTTTTGAAAAAAGGAAAAAAAAAAGTCTGTTGCTGACCCAGAAGCCTATCTGCCCTAAACTGCATGGTGAGTATAACCCAGGTTTCCAGGGTGCAGTGTCTTTCAGGAAGTGATGCTTCTGTTTACAAAGCCTATTATGAAATGGTGGGGAACAATAAAAGAGAGCAAGATACAAAGAAGTGCAAATGAAAGGGCAGAGTCCAGGAGGAAGATAGAGCTTGGAAGTGAGTGAGCAGAGCTCAACTGGCAGGTGGGTCTGAATTGCCCTTCTGCCACTGAACCCTCTTCTGGAGAAAACATCTTTATCTCTGCTGTTTCCCTGCCAGCCCCACTCTCATTTTGGTTCAATGGCACTGGTATTTCTGCAGAGTAGAACAGGTCTCTCTTGGACTATCTCCTTCCCCCTTCAAATTTGACCTGTATCTTGAGACCCTGAATTAGAAGAGCTTCTACTCAGTAGTATTATCAACAATAATAAATAAACTATTCGATTTCCATTTTGAAAGCTTGTGTTTCTCTTCTAGCAGAGAAAGGAGCTATTTCATAGAAAACCTTGTAAATTCTTGAATTATTCAAAACTGATAGCATGCCCAGAAGCACTTTGTGAGTAGCTAGAGGTATGTGCTTTTTTATTATGAATTATATGCTCACTGTTTGTTATATGAATGATTATGACTCACACTCATGTTAAATTTCTGGTTGGATTTGCTCATAAAAATTCAATTTTGGGGGGAAAAAACCCCAAAACTTACATCAATTCCCAAATGCCACCTTGGAATACTGCCAGGCGTGTATACCTGAGATGTCTGTTGTGCTGCATGGAGCCAGAAGAGGAAGTCTGGAAGAACAAAAAAGCCAGGATTGCAATTGATCCAACTTTTGATTGCTAGAATAGATACGAGGGAGGGTGTTAGTTTTAATGTGCTCAGCCTTGGGTCACATACCAGTAATTTATTGCAGGTTGGATGGCTGATGTGTGTTCCAGCGAGCTGTGCAGCACCAGCGTGTTTCAATTTCACTTGTCTAGACAGGGTTTTCAGTTGCCCTGTTCTGGCAGGCAGTGGGAGATTTCATACCTTGATCTTATCGCGCTGTGCCGAGTTTACCTCACAGAGAACACCTGCAGCCCGAGAACAGGGATTCAGGGGAGATGCAAACACACAGCACCTCTGTGGATTTGGACCTCTGTCCTTGACACACGTGGCTTTTGCAATATCTCAGTGGATTTCAGCAGTTTGGAACGGTGGATTTCCAGGCTCGGATCCTTTCAGGTAACTCCTGTGTTGACCGCTCTAGACCAGCCTTCATTTTTTTGCTGCGTTCCTTGGAACACGAGTGGAAAATATTTGCTCTAATTTGCCAGGAAATTCACTTAAGAGCACCAGACTCTTACATAACCTCCTCCCGTTGGTGAGCAGCTCTCAGAGATGACAACTACAGTGGTTTGGGCAGGTGAATGGTTTGCACAAACTAGAACAGTCACACTGGCTGTATTTCTGGGCAAAGTGTTGGTGCAGGTAAGTGTACACGAATAGTCCTACTATTGACACGATTATCATTTGTACCAGAACAGCGCCTCGGGTCAAACAAGAACAGGTCTCCCTTGTACCAGACACTCTGGGAACTCCTGGAAACAGACAGTTCCTGCAGTGAGAAGCTTACATCTAAACCAAGCTGTCCTTTCCCACTTTGGCTTGCAAGTATTTTTTTTTGTTGTTATTATTTTTATTGCTGTCCCCACACAGATTTACAGGTATGAGTAGGTCTGGCTGTGTTTCAGGGTAAATGCCTGCGTCACTCACCCCTCTCAGTATGTGGTGTACAAAGCCCTGTGGGAACCGCCTGTAATGTTTAGTGCACAATGACCAGTCAGTTTGTTTAAGTTCAGGAGGTAAGTGATTACCGGGGCCACAAGATACTGACAATCTAAACCTCTATAAAAGAGATTTTTGTCTTCCTGTTGGTTGTATTATTCATCTCATTAAACGAGTGGCTTTCTTCTGACCTTTGCCAAGTTGTATAATTCTGCGTCGTTCTATCAGCTGGTACTTGGGAGTATCCTGGAGACTTCCTTGCTTTTTATAAATAATTTTGAGGCTGATATGAAACAAAAGTATCTCCTGAATTTGCTAGCAATCGATAGGTTAAAAAAATCTTTGCTTCTGAAAGTGTTTAGGCAGCAATACTCCTGTCAAATGCAAGCCTATTTCAACACAGCAGCTCTGTAAGGACACACGTGATGGACATGCTCGCTGTAATTGTGGTCCAGCTGGTCATGTATTGTCTTTGACAGCAGCCACTACAAAAGGTTTCATGGCAAAGGCTCCCAAACCTTTCCAGTAGCAGCTCGCCTCTCCAGCAGATAATCTGTGTGACTCATGATGCGAACACATCAGATGAAAGAGCTTTCTCTTGGGCAGGCTGGTGATGCTGCTCACAACTGCTGGCACCTCTCTTGGCATGGTGATCTATCTGAGTGAGAACTGTTGCAGTAGGAGATGCCACCAGAAACCTAGTCAAGGGCACACACTGTAGAAGAGGCATCTCATCACAGAACAGGCCATCCCTTTCCCAAACTCCTTCAATCAGAGGCAAGCTTAAATTTTTAAGTGTGAAGGTTTACACTTTCTCTGAATATCTTGCAAGCATCAAGTAAAACAGCCCTGTAAATTCCTTCTAAATTCTGCACTCTGGTAATATCCATTGCAACGAGTGCCACAGTTTAATGGCATGTGCATGTATTATAGAAAATGTTTTTGTTTCGTTTGTTCGTCCCAACCTTGTTGTGCAGATGAGGAAACTGGAAATGAGATCCAAATTCTACCACTGAAAATTTAAACTGCTGAGAAAAAAAAGCAAGTATCGATGGTACCGTTTCTCTGGGCATGACATCCTTATTGCACACAGCATCCCTGAGCCGTTAAGCGGTTTAGAGGGCTTAGAAGGGAGTTCATTTTTTCATTCTTTTTTCCCCCCCCCTTTTTTTTTTTTTTTGGTAAACAATTGTTCTTCTTTGTGGACGATCAGAGGACATTGCACATTCATCTCAGCACAGTCTGAGGAGGTGCTGCTCTTCCTGGGCTTCTAAGGGCTGGTGTGTTTGGGAGTGCAGCTGTTCCCAGTCCCCCCATTAAAGCCAGAGGAAATGGAACAACAGTGGGATCCACTGGTGAAGTGCCAGTGGCCAGACATGGGCTTCCCTGGCAGTTCCTCACAGTGGCTCTACAAGAGCTTAATGCAGACTGAGGGTGCTCAAAACTCAACCTGCCTGAGGAGAAGCAGCAAAAGGTGGTGTGTGCGTGTTGTGATTTTAAGCGATTGTTCCCCTGTACTCTGGTACTGGTGAGGCCACACCTCGAGTGCTGTGTCCAGTTCTGGGCCCCTAAATTCTGGAAGGACATTGAGGTGCTGCAATGGGTCCAGAAAAGGGCAGGGGAGCCAGTGAAGGGTCTGGAGCACAAGTCCAGTGAGGAGCAGCTGAGGGAGCCGGGGCGGGGGCTCAGCCTGGAGGAAAGGAGGCTCGAGGGAACCTTGTCACTCTACAGCTCCCTGACAGGAGGGTGGAGCTGGGGGGGGGGTCAGGCTCTTCCCTCAGGCAATCAGCGCCCAGACGAGGGGACACATCCCCAAGCCGTGCCAGAGGAGGTTCAGGCTGGGCATCGGGAGTCACCACCCGCGAGAGCGGCTCAAGGGACGCCTGGACTCGGCGCTCAGCGCTCCGGTCTGGCTGAGGCGGCGGTGCTGGCGGTGGTGTTGGGTCGCGGGCTGGACTCGGTGGCCCTCAGAGCTGTTTCCCCACGCCGTTAATACCGCCCCTCCGTGAGGGACTCCCCGCGCGCCTCCCGCGGCCGGCGCTGCCCCGAGCGGCCATTGACGTCAGGGCGGGCGGCACGTGACCGCGGCGGGGCCAATCGGCGGCGGCCGCAGCCGCTCCGGCGAGAAGGGGCCGTGCCGGCAGCGCCCGCCGCTCCCGCCGCCCCCGCCCCCTCCTCCTGCCGCGGCGGCGGCGCGTGGGGACCCGAGCACGGCGACACACACAGAGACACAGACACACACACACATACACGTACATACACACACACACACAGACACGCTCCCGCACCCACGGGCGCGCACCCGCACCCACATACATGCACGCGCGCCGCCGCACGCTCCCGCGCACACGCCCCTGGGGGAAGGAAGGAGCCGCGGCCGGACGCCCCGCAGCCCCCGCCGCCGCCGCCGCCGCCGCCGCCAGGAGCAGCCGCCCCCCGCACCGCCACCACCGCCGGCTTCTGCCCGCCGCCCCCGCGGGAGCCCACCCTGCGCCCGGCCGGCGGCAGCATGGACGCGGCGCTGTGACCCGCCGGGGGCGGATTGGGAAGTTTGAATAAGGATTTTATCGCTTCCCTTTCCCCCCTTCTCCCCCTACGGTGCGGCTCGGTCCCTGCCCCCATCTTCCCCGACAGGTTTTTTTTTTTTTGTTTGTTTGTTTGTTTCCCCCAGCATTTTTTTTTCTTTTAATCCGCCGCTTGGGGTTGGATTTTTATTATTATTGTGTTTTTATTTGATTTGGTCGAACCCGTCTCTACCGGCCGTAGAGACCGGTGCCCGCGGGCGGCCGAGCGCCACCTCCGACCCGGCCCGCGGGGCTGCCATGGATCGCACCGGCGGCTCCGGCGGGGGCAGCGACCGCAGGCAGCCCGAGGAGAGCAAGCCGCTGCTGGGCGAGATGTCCGCTCCCGAGGGGAATAAAATGGGTGCCGCGCCGTGCCGGAGAGCCCTGCTCCACTGCAACGGCATGAGGTACAAGCTGCTGCAGGAGGGGGACATCCAGGTGTGTGTCATCCGGCACCCCCGGACGTTTCTCAGCAAGATCCTCACCTCCAAGTTCCTGCGGCGGTGGGAGCCGCACCACTTGACCCTGGCGGACAACAGCGTCGCCTCGGCCACGGTAAGAGCCCGCCCGGGTCCGCCGGGCACCGGCATCGCCAGCGCCGCGGAGCATCCGCGGGGTGCGGGGGGGATGCCCGCGCCTCGGGGCCCTCGCTCTGCCTGACCCGGGGGGGGACCCACCGAGGGGCCTCGGGGGGGTTAGTGGAGGGTCGGCTCGAGTGGGTCCCGGAATGCCGGCGGAAAATCCTGAAAGGATTTTTTTTTTTTTCCCCCTTTGTGATCCGGTGGATATTTAATTTTGCGGTTTCGGTGTGTTGGTTTTTATTTATTTATTTATTTATTTATTTATTTTCATCCCCGAGCAAGACTATTATTGTTATTATTGTCACCGATTTTTTTTCCCCCACATTTAAAAAGAAAAAAAAAATCCACCTTTCCCAGCATGACCGACACACCAAGCCCTTTCTGTCCGAAAGCAAAGTCGGCAGATACCTGCTGGCACCTCGGGCAAGTTGGAGGTGAGGGAGGTGCAGGATGCTTTGAATTCGAGAGCGAAGGCTCGGGCTGTGTGCGGTCTTTGCTGTGGTTCAGGCCTGCTCTGGGGGCTCTGCTTTGGCGGTCACATACCCTGCCCAGACACAGGCGATGTGATTGGAAAATATGGAGATTCCTTCAGGGTATTCTCCCTACTGGAAACTGATGCAAGAGAAAAATGCGAGGTGGTGATATCAGTGCCACAGAAGATGTACAATAGACGCATACAGTCTTGAAAAATATGATTTTTATGTTCGTGTACAACTTAAAATTTCATGGCCATTATTATTTGAACATTTGTGTAGCATGTGATGTGATTGCACCCATATTTTGGCGATTAACGCAGCTCACAAAGCATGTTTTACACTGTTCTTTAATCATTCAGTACTTGGATTGTGTCTTTTTTTGATTTATGTGTAAATGTCTCATTTTTCTCAATGGCTCCGTTCTGGCCTTCCTATAGGACACTCCTGAATCGAGAGCGTGGATTGGCTTTTGTGTGGATTTCTGTTAATGGTGTATTTCAGTGGGTTTCATCCAGCCTGTGCTGTGCTTGGAGGCTGGATTTTGTCACACTTTGGTACACAGACATAACGTGTGTAAATGTCCCTCCTGCATCATGCTCTGCTGTATTCAGAGCAGGTTTTCAGTGGGAGCTCCTTTAACCTTCAGGTAGGCCAGCTGCCTGTTCTCACAGAGCTCTTTTTTGTGCCACAATGACATCTCTCCTTACGGTTTCCGCGGGGCTCTCGAGGATGTTTCCAGGGGAATATTTTTCTTTCTTTGATTGAACCGCTGTCTGAAGGGAGAAGGAAGACTTGATCGAGCATTGCTGGAGAAAACCCCCAAAAGACACACGAGCTCAAGGAGTTTTTGCAGCTCTTCATTTTGTTAAGATACCATCAGTGTGGAGAGGGAGTTGAATATCAGTGGAGATGAGGCATTTTCCTGGCAGAATCCGTAGCTGACTATTTCTGAGCAGAGAAGGATACCGGCAGAGAGAGGCAGGATCGTGCTTCAGATGTTGATCTCTGCAATGTGGCAATACCAGGCACGAAGTTGTATTTGTGCAGGAGACGTCAAACTCTGCTTGCTGGCAAAGCTGTCACCGGAGAGCCCATCTCTGAAAAAGGGTTTCTGAAGTCCTGTGGGGCTGTGCTTTAATTAATGTTGAGGTGTTCTCATTCCTAATTATTTTATGCATATAAATAGCAAGAGGAGAGTAAAACGTCGGGCGTACCATTGCAGGCTCCATTTTGTTGAGCAGTGCTCTTCGTGCTTGGTCTTGCGCCTTATCATTTTTTTCCAGTGCTAACTCACCAAGTAAATACCGTTGTTCACAGAAATATCTGTGCTTTATTATTTCAAGTAGTGTCTTTGGTTTCCAGGGAGCAATTAGGGCACAGGGATAAGATCTACGTTCACTTGTTGCCTGACTCTGTGGGTAGGTTTAGGAGGTATCTTACAGGTTCTGTGATATCTACATTTTATTCTTTGTTTTTTTTTGAGCTGGGAAGATTTGATTTAAGCAAAATCCGTGGCAGTTTAACTCCCACCCCCTATGGAAATGGGGTACAGGCACAGTGCCAAAACCACCTCAAACTGGAGGTAGATATTTGAATGTGACTAATTTGGTTTTCAAGAGCTGTAGGAAAATACCCATTCTGTCCATTGAAAGTGAGCGTTGGGAGCACTCAACAGCTTTGATAACAAGGTCATTTTTACACATGGGGCTTTCCACAGGCAGGGTGCTTTATGAGCAGCCAGTAATTAATCTTCACATCATCCCTTTGCAAATCCTCTGGCATGACGAGTTTTACTGCATTCTATATAACATGAATAAAATTGAGCAGGAAAATAACATCACTTTGTTTTGCATTTGAAAGCAAAAGTTGTAATGACAGCTAAATCCAGATCTGGCAAATTATGTCCCTGAGTACAGTGGATAAGTCATTTGTTGATTCTAGGCACTTTATATCCTTTTTATTGTCACTTGAGACACATATTTGAATTAAAATCTTCTCCCCACAAGCTCTTACTTGTCAGTCCCTGGGCTGCAATATAGGAGTTAGCAATAGTTTGTATATGGATTATTCATCTGTAGTTTATTCCACGAGTAGACACAGTATGTGCCCACATCTCTAAGTCTGAATAATGAGACCCTATCTACATTTTTTTTTTTGTGAGATAAGTAGTTTTGTTGTTTATTTAGGCAGCTACATGTTTTGTGCTGACAAGATAGTTTTCGGTAGCAGAAGCACTATGCATGAATGCAGTGGAACAACTGTTAGGCCATCTTATTTTAGCAGAATTTAGGGAGAAAAAGTAATGCTGCCTACAAAGTGTGTTTTCTGACATTATCACAAGTGACTGTTTCAACTAAAATAAATCCATGTTAATCAAATAATAATAATAATAATAATAATAATTGTATTCTGAGTTGGTATATGCACTCAATTAAGCAATGGAAAGGCATTAGCTTGTGGAGAGTCCCATCACTGTAGGTTTTGGGACTTTATGTGATTAATGTATTGTTTCCATTGCTTGTTTCATGTTTTTATTTCTCAAAGAATTGGTTAAATATAGTACAGTTTCACCATTACAGTTTCCCTTGCAACACGTCCAGGCTTTCCTTCTGGTTAAAGGATTTTTGGAGAAAGTGAATACAGATCTGTAGCTTTTTTTTTTTATTATTGTTTTCTTTTGTTACTGTAAATATTAAAGCCCCAGTAGGAAATTTTGGTACTTAGAAACTTTGTTTGTCAGACAGCAGCTTGCCTGGGAATGAATCTGACTTTCTCCCCTATGGGAGGAATAATGTTTATTTTATAAACACCTACCAAACTCAAATGTAGCACCCTTACTAATTTCCTTTTCACCAGTGAGATCTGTCCTTGCACAGCTTGAGGGGCAGTGATAGTAAAAACAAAGACAGAAATAAAATCCAATTTAAGATTTCTTGTGTGGGTTTTTTGGGGGTGGTGGTGGTGAAGAATGACCCTATGGCTGTCTTCAGCAGAAATGTTAAAATCTAATTTTCAATAGTTTAAATATAGGTGTCGTGACTGAACTTCTGTGTCTTTAGTATCCTTCTGCACTGTCCTTTTCATGTCTCTGCCCTGCTTTTTTCTTTCATTCTTCCTCTTGAATCAGTTGGGATTAGATGTTGAGGACAATGAGTTTTAAAGTCCTGGGTTGCAAGGCAGACTTGTGATACATATGTATGTGCAGCAGACAAGGAAAGAATAAATAAGTGATTCATTTTTGCTGGCGAGGGATGACCTCTCTAGTTCCCCATCTGGGAAGATAAGACATTATTGAAACCATGAAGTTATTCATTAATATCCCTCAAGGAGAGGTGGAAGCTTTGGGTTTTTATGACTGGTTCACATTTCTTGGCTCTGCCTGGCCAGGTAAGTTGAGTGTAATGTAAGTGTTTTGCTCAAAGAATGTGAGTGGATTAGGGAACTGCATTTGTATTTTCTTCTGGAGACAAGAACATACCCAATTAATATTAAATGAGGCAGGGCAGATTTATCTGCTTCGAATAGGAGAAGTGGAGTAGAAAATTGTCTTCTAATTGTTTTTTAAAATTCAACAATTCTGCTGCTGCATTTGTTTCAGCATGCTATTACGTGTCTTTCCTGATAAAGATAGAGCAAAAATTCCTATCAAGCTGGACTCATTGTTTACCTTAGCACAGGTTCTCATTAGTTAGAAAAACATACTTTTAAAAATTAAATTTCCCTTGAAAAACAGTTAGCTCGAGTGGGAAGTATTATGCAGAGCTCAGAAATTTCAAAACAATCTTACAAGGAGAATTTTTGTAAAGCTTTCATGGAAAAGGAATATTGTAGCATTCTCCAGATTGGAAATAGAATAAATATGAATTTGCTATAGTACTACTACTACTAAGTAAAGTAAACAATCTGTTGAGTAAACCAAGTGCTGCCCTAAAGTCCTGCACTCTTGATGAGGCTCTACCTATTTAGCCCACCAAGCCAAATTATCTTGGAGGGCCTGCCATCATTATGTGTATAAGTGAGTATGAACACGTAAATAACCAAGCAATTGAAGATAATTTTTTATCTGTTATAACAATGGAATGATGAATTACTATTTATATTTAATATTTCCCATTGTTTACTGTTGCAGATGATTGCTTTCCTTTGATAAGAAGTGGTACCATCAGGCTTCGGATGTACATGTTTTTGCCTGTTCTGGGTTATGCTGTTGCTAAATACCAGGTATTTTGTTCAGGTGCATCAGAAAGGGCATTGAATCTCATAATTTGCAGAAAACCCATGACAATTTAGCGTTCTCTGCAAATCGAGAACAAATTGCTCCATGTTATCTGTGCTGTTGAAATTGAGATCCTATTTCAGAAGTGAAGTCAGGCAGGTACCTGCTTTAATAAAACCCAATTTTTTTCTGGAGACTGGATGATTTGATGGAATATTGCTCTGCTGTGACAGACTTCTTTTATTGCTACATTAGTTGGTAGCGCAACGTAAGAAAACCTTA